TTTTAAATCATTTAGTTCAATTTTCAATATATTCGTATTTATGTCATATCCATATTCCTTGAATGTTAGTGATTTCTTTTACTATCATATTTTCATTCGATTTTTCCACTATCTTTAAAATTACCCGCACAGACAGAGTGACAAGTTACCAGTTTTTATTTATTATGATTTATGTTAACTAAATTGTAGTTTAGTGAGTAATTTAGCATAGATAATGATAATGTTTTAGACACAAATGACAACATTACAAAACATGAATATTCTGCTTTTTTGTAACAGTAAATGAAGTATTTTTGTATATTGGTGTTGTTCTAGGAGCGATTGTGGTTTGGAGTTTTGTTGGGTATGCTAGTAGCCAAATTTAAAATATTATTCATCTGTGGAGTAAATTTTTTTAACCTTACGAGGCCGTAATTCGATAATTAATTTCTTCTAAGCTTTTTAAACGAATTGGGTTATCAATAGCTTAACAGACTAGGCAGTCTTCTACTCTTTCAAAGAGTGTGTGTGTGTTTGAACCGTCAAGCAGTTTGTTTTATGCAGATTTCAGTCTTACTTTGTATTTGTTCAGATATGATGGAGTGGACTTAGGAGTCTTTTCTTCCTTCTTGTTGCTGGTACTGTTGGCTGCTGTTCGAATCAAAAGGTCCTATTGAAACAGTTGTCCCGATACCTTAGTAGGAAAGCTCTCTTCAAAGTAGGCTCAGCTTGCGGCGTTTGCGGCTATTTGATTGCGTTTTGGGGGCATTTTATAGGATGGTCTTGGAGTATAATTTAATTTGTTCGCGGCTGGACATTTATTTATTCAGTTATTCCTTGAGTCATTGTTAACCACTGCGATGTCTTTTTCTGACTTATGATTTATTTAATGTTTTAATTAAAGAAGCTCTTAGAGTGGTTGGTTTTCATTCAGCTTGTGATTTGTGATATCTTTCTTTTCTAGAATAATCTGTAGTGTTTACCGAAACTCTGGCTGGCTTAATTCCTCCGTCGTGCTACTTAAATTTCCAGTTAACTATATCATTAATATTTTCTACTTTCTGTTGAATAAGAACATATGTATTATATTTAAACTACAATATTATAAATAGTAATTAAATTTGTTCGTGTCTTGAGCTTTCAAATAAAAGTAATTTTTTTTGGATTAGTATCTTCAGTCAACTGGCAAGTTATTTACTTTGAGTGAATTATAATTCAACACGTTGTTCGCAACACTGAAGTTATTCAAAGTGAAAGTACGAAAATTACAATAGAACGAGAAGTATTTATAACGATATGGATCTAAAGAAGGGAGTTAAGGGGAAGAAAAAAATATGGGTAGAAGGACCGGAGTTTCGCTCCTTTTTATCTCTTAGTTTGAAGGCTGTGAACTGGAGAGGAGTCATCGCGTCCACCTTGATTGATCCTCCAAAGTGGTGAATTGCTCTTCACGTAACTTTATTAACTAATTCTTTATCATCACTTGTTTAATAGTTTCACGATCATGATTCACGTTCACACGAAGTCCGCACCTTTATAGGCTTATTATTACATATCGTTTCCAGCTTATTGTTCTAACATAACGAATATTGACCTAAAATCACTTTATATAAATCGTAAAGTTAGCAATTGTTTTTCTAGTTTAAAAATATCTAACAAACATTTGCATTATGGACATTGTTGCGAGCACTTTGATTGATTGTTATCGATATTTTAATTTCCTCCGGATCATTCCAGTAGCTAAACAACGGAGGTGGTGCCCCATTTACAAGTGTATTATTAATCACCAGTGATTAATTACCTTTATTATTAAGTAGTATAACCCCTTGCAATGGTATTCTGAAAATTATATGGTTTAGTACATTGAATATTTAAGGCAAATACATGCACACATACCAATAACGGGTGAAGATTGATAAATGTGGCTATTACTATAATAAAAGAGAACCAGATGTGGTACTAAATGAAAAGTTGTTTGGGAGCCGAAAGAGCCATCTCTTAGTGTTGAGCTTAGCCAAATGATCTGGCTTACTGAAACGTGAGTTTGCAGGTTGGTATCTTTATCTACCTAAATTCTCAGCTCAATGACTTATTGTTCATGAATGAGTGTTCTCAGTTCACTTAGCAAGCTGAACAGAACATTCAGTCGTCTTTCACTTCAGTGATTGGGACACACAGTTGAAGCTCCATTCATAGTGATTCAGTATTCTGAAAAGAACTGATGTGCCCATCACCAACATGCATATAGGGCCACATAGAGCCACACACTTACATAGTCTGTCTCTTTGTTATTTTCAGCCTCCTCATCATCATTCTCATCACTGCTCTCATCTGGATTTAACAGAAAAAACAGCGCAGTCAATGTCAGTGTCCTGTATGTGTGTGTCTGTTCAGTAAAGTGAACACTGTAAAATCAACAGTGTACAAACGTAGATACAATAGCATATTGTTTTAAATAAAAGGTGATTTTAAACTGTCAAAAAGAATCTTAAGACAAAAACAGGGAATTAGACTAAGACTAAGGAAGCCTTGAAAATGTAAGCCACTCAGTCATACGATATACACTGGGAATATGGACACTACATCCAAATACATTTAACAATACATTAAAAATAGGAATGCTCCATCAAACAACAAAAGAAGCTGCAATGCACTCCATCAAATATTATTAGGTTTTCCATCACGAAACCTAGTTTTATCAATATTGGTTCCAATGTGTCAGGCAGCCTATCTGTTATTGCTTAAAAGTGTCTTTTCTTTATATATTACAAATTCACAGATTCAAGGCTGTAACTGCTATCAAAGGGTGCTTCTGCTACAATACCTGGAGTCACATCGATATCAGGGACAGTATGAGGTCTTCCAGGTAGGGGGAAGGTGTATGCAGACTGATCTGATGTCAGTGGTAGAGGAGTTTTAGGAAGGCACTTCCTCATCAGCTGCACAGAGGGCTTCACCAGAGACTCCAGAGCTTTACTCAACATACATGTCTGCCCAGAAACAAGCAGATAACATTTAAACAACATCATCAGTTAAAGATGTAACACAGGCTGTTAAGGTTCCTGCAGGGGAGTAGAACACAAATTATGTAAATCAAAAGGCTTTTTCCCATTAATGGACAGAGTTTGTTCTGAATTACAAACATGCTAATTTTGATTCTGATTCAATGCTCTGTCTGCTCAGTCTCACACTTGATCAGTAACAATAAAAACATTTCTTTCTGACCATTAAGGCTAGATTTATCAATTTTTAAGTTGTTGCAAATAATTAACCCATGGTTATAGGTTATATTTAGAGGTAAGACTTGTGTATAGTAAAGAACAGAATAAAAGAACAGTGATGGCACAATTCAATTCCAAAGAAATTGAGTTCAAAGTTAGCAGAAAAGTATGATGCTGTAGGTATCACTTGTGAACGTGCAGGGCTCCAGGCCTAAGCGTCCTTAATCGACAAACTTGCCAGAAATAGCAAACACAGGACTGAAGGAGACTGCTGTCATTGTCCCAATAAACCAAAGTTAAGTTACGTAAGGTAGCTTACAGTCTTTTCCAAAAAGATAACCAAGTAGTTCTTATGCCTAAACTTTTTAGTTTGACCGTGTTTAATAATTAAATTAATATCTTTTACCAAAAATGACCATATCAGTAGCTTAGGATTTAAATATTTTGATCTCAACATAGAGAGGTTGGTATCCTTCACGTTTGTGGAATATTTAATAAACCAGCATGTATATTTTAAAGCATTTATCGAAAATCATAATAAAGCAAAAAACAAAACACACAATATGCTAAGTTTTTTCTGAGTTATTTATTTTTAGGGACCGAGCCAGCGACCACTGGAGGTCCCTATTGTATTTGCTTCGTTTCTTTTTCTTACTTATTCTTATTATTAGGGACCGAGCCAGCGACCGCTGGAGGTCCCTATTGTATTTGCTCGATTTCTTATCTATTATTTTTAGCAACTTTGATTGCGTTTTTGCCCCCCTGAACATATACGAAAACTCAATTTTATTTGGCAAAGTTGTCAGGTCTGGTGAAAAATTTGATATTCTATGCGTCGCTTTCGGGTCGGCCACTAGGTGGCGCTACTATTGAGAAAAGTATTTTGACTTTTTGGTTACTTAA